GAAGTCCAGTCTTCGATTTGCCTAAAGGCCCGATCATCTCGCCCTTGCAGACCATTGAGTTGTAGCCCTTCCATGTCGGCTATTCTGCAGACCCAGACTTTTGTCAGTAACTTCCCGACATCGGCCCCGAAATGCCTCGCGGGATCGAGAGGTGGAATCCAAAGAATGTTCGTTTCGGAGAAGCCTCGAATCGATAATCACCATTCGAAGCATCAAAAGTACGACATGAGGTCATCTTGCGAGAAGCCTAGCTTGAAGTTGTCAACTTTGAGTCCCGTTCGCAAGATCCTGAAGCCTGAAGCTTGCGGGTCTGATCAATCGGAATCATGGAAAACTGAAGTTGACAACTTCAACTTGGACTCCACCAAACCAGGAGCTCGGACCGCGAGCAGTGCGAGACCTCCATATTTGATCCAAAATGCGTTCGTCTCCCTCCTCGAGAGGTGTCAATTAGATGTATGCGTGCAGTCAAAACAGTAGGTCTACATAAACACCTTACAAACCGGATGATCCGACTACCATGGCGAAGCGGTATGGAGGTATGCTTTCTGGCGAGTGGTACACCAAAGCTGGCCACGCATGGCGAATAGGTAAGACCGACGACCCGGGAAACCGCAAACATCGTGATTAGTTACTGTGAGATGAGAATGACCGGGAGCACGGGAAGAAAAAAAAGCCAGCTTGTCACCTTTCTTGGTCTCGTGGTGAGACGGAGGTGTGAACACGCCTGTCCAGAAGGTTCCGATCCCAGTCCACGACGTCGCGTTTCGGAGGGGTCCGTCCTTCCTGTCTCGATGTTCAAACGTTCACATCCCACCCAGCATTTGAGGACCGGATCTTCGTTCAAACGCAGAAGAATCGCTGCAAGCAGAGGACAGCAGTTGCCAGGACATATCAAATTCGGGCTGACTGAGTATTACCACAGGTTACCCCTACCCTGTGTCAAATGAGAAATTACAGAAGACGTTACCTCCGGACGGCACGGTCATATTATTATAACAGGAGAGGCAAACACCACCTCGAACGACGTGCTTAACTACAGCGTCAGCACAAACTCAGCTGATGCTAAAGTTGACGCGTGACGCATCCAGTGGCAACGTTGTTTCAACTATCGGGACACACCAGTCTACGACGTTGCGGGGATGTCGGGAACGTAGACAGGGACAAACCGTCTCTTTGAACGTGCGGTAATATTAATGATAAGAGCATGGCAAACCTGACAGGAGGAAAGAAACAAGAGTGTTTTTTCGGAGCTTTATCACGTACTGAGCATCTACGCACCCAATTTGAAGAGCTGGGCTCAAAGGGTTAACGACTACAGTATAGGACCGGCATTTGCACCAGCAATTTTCAAACGTCTCGCAATTTACAACACCACAATTTTTCGTAGATCAGACTCCACACATAGATTTATATGTACATGAATGGTCTCCAGAAAAAAATTAAACAGCATCAGAGGTGATGTTGTGTTGTAGGACTAAGTATGAATTCAACACCTTATCGCGCATACACCACCACTTGCGCAAGGCTAAAAAGAGTATATCAGCAAGCTCGTCGTTATCGTTCCGTAAGATCAGCTAATCCATCGTCATCCACACTCCCACCATGATCACACTCGTCGATCTCATCCACTGCTTCTCCCTGGGCACACTTGCTGGCAAGGACGGGCTTAGGCAGTGGTTCCTCTAGCTTGCCTAGCTTCGGTTGAGTCCACCGAGTTCGTCGCCTCTCCGCTTTTGCTAAATCCCTCTCCACTCCACAGGCCACAAGCTCATCCCTGTTTCCGATTCCTTCCATGCTGCCATCACTTCCATTCGCTCGTCCATTTGTTGACGCCGTTCTTCCCGCGCCACTTCCTCGTCAACAATTGCCTTTTCGTGTTCAACAACACGGTCGTGGAACTCATCGCTGGTGCTGGACACTACTATATTATCTTTGCAGCCATATTAAGGATAGTACTATTAGTAACATCGTCCCTGATTACGCCCATGGATTAGATAGTGATAACACCACAAAATACACTGTTCACCGGCATGTGGCTGGCAAGAGAAAAACATGCGCGCGAAATAGATTTAAGTCATAGAAATGTTACCAGACACTATGTGCACTGTTTATACAAGTTTGACGAGCTCAGAGACAAAGTTCAGCTGACCATCAACCATATATTGCAAAAAAGCCTCATTTTGGATGAAAAAGTAAGAGATATTTAATGTTAGACAATAGAACAATCAAATACTGTCTCTGTATGCATGACTAGGCAGTTTACTTACTAGTTTTAGATACTTGTAGAGGGCCCAAAGTGCAGAGTTTGAGCACTGTGACATGTTGGCGCAAGGGCCGATGGTGGCGCAAATGCCGGTCCTATACTGTATTACTGGGGAGTACTTATCTACCTGACGTCCGATGTCGTGAAAGATATCGATGGACAGATGGACAATAACAAATAATCGCAAAAGTTCAGAGGTAAACTGGGTAGGTAGATACCGTGAGACGGAGTGGTATCAAGCGA